AAAAAAAAAAGACTAGGTCCCATCCAGAAACCAAAATGCATACACAATGCGTTGCTTACCAGCCAAAGTCTGCTGCTTTGCACAGCCGCTTCCAGGCACTACTCTGCTACACCCGGCCGCCTTTCCTGCTGAACTCGGCCAATGACTAGAAGCCTTACTGATGAGCCTTTATTTACTTCCAAGTCTGAGTGCATTTTAACCCTTACTATACTGGTTTTAATAATACAGTGACAAAAATAATGATCCCCTTCAGATTTTGTAAGTTTGTCCACTTAAAAAAGAGATGAAGGGTCTATAATGTTTATCATAGGTGTATTTAATTGATAAAGACAGAATATCAACCAAAATTTCAGAAATGATAAAAATGCTATAAATTGAGTTGCAGTTCAGTGAGTAAAATAAGTATTTGATCCCCTACCAACCAACAATAAATCTGGCTCCCACAGACTGTCTATGTGCTCATGTGGTACACAGATTAGTCCTGTCAATGTACATGTATACTCACCGGCCACTTTATTAGGTATACCTGTTCAATTGCTTGGTAATACAAATTGCTAATCAGCCAATCACATATCAGCAACTCGATCCATTTAGGCATCTAGTAGATGTGGTGAAGACAACTTGCTGAAGTTCGTACCGCATGGGGAAGAAAGGGGATTTAAGTGACTTTGAATATGGCATGGTTGTTGGTGGTCTGGTCTGAGTATTTCAAAAACTGCTGATCTACTGGGGTTTTCACGCACATCAATCTATAGGGTTTACAGAGAATGGTCCGAAAAAAGAGAAAATGCCCAGTGAGTGGCAGTTGTGTGGGAGAAAATGCTGATGTCAGAGGAGAATAGGCAGACTGGTTCGGGATGACAGAAAGACAACAGTAACTCAACCACTCGTTACAACCAAGGTATGCAGAATGCCATCTCTGAGTGCACAACACGTCGAACCTTGAAGCAGATAGGCTACAGCAGCAGAAGACCACACCGGGTACCACTTCTGTCAGCCAAGAACAGGAAACGGAGGCTACATTTCGCACACGCTCACCAACATTGGACAACAGAAGATTGGAAAAGTGTTGCCTGGTATGAGGAGTTTCTATTTTAGCTGCGACATTCACATGATAGGCTCAGAATTTGGCGTAAACATGAAAGCAAGGATCCAACCTGCCTTGTATCAATGGTTCAGGCTGGTGGTGTAATGGTGTGCGAATATTTTCTTTCCACACTTTGGGCCCTTTAGTATCAACTGAGCATCGTTTAAATGCCACAGCCTACCTTGGTATTGTTGCTGACCATGTCGATCCTTTATGACTACAGTGTAGCCATCTTCTGTTGGCTACTTCAAGCAGGATAATATGCCATGTCACAAAACTCAAATCATCTCAAACTGATTTCTTGAACATGATGAGGAGTTCACTGTACTCCAATGGCCACCAGAGTCACCAGATCTCAATCCAATAGAGCACCTTTGGGATGTGGTGGAACGGAAGATTTGCTTCATGAATGTGCAGCTGACAAATCTGCAACAACTGCGTGATGCTATCATGTCAATATGGACCAAAATCTCTGCGGAATGTTTCCAACACCTTGTTGAATCCATACCATGAAGAATTAAGGCAGTTCTGAAGGCAAAAGTGGGTCCAACTAGGTACTAGCAAGGTGTACCTAATAAAGTGGCCGGTGAGTGACGGTAACAACCAGATCTTCTGTAACAATGTGCTGAAGAATGATCCACCATAGAGATGGTTGGTCACAATAACAGATGTTTGCCACAAACAAGATACGCCACTGCTTATAACTAAAGCTTGATAGTGGTAGAATTGGTATGGCTTGGGATTGCTTTGCAGCTTCAGGTCCTGGGCAGCTTGCAGTCATAGGGGGAAATTTAAGAAAACTGGTGCACTCAGAATCTGGTGTAGCTGTGAATTGTAGCCAATCAGATTCTAACTTCAGCTTGTTCAATTAAGCTTTGACAATAAACCCAGAAGCGGATTGGTTTCTATGCAAAGATGCACCAGATTTTGCACTCTCCGGTATTAGTAAATAAGCCCCAATAGAGTCAAGAATACATTTTGTATTATATTAAAGTGTGGTTGATGAGAATGTGAGGTCATCAAGTTGAAGGTGAACCAGAAATCAATACCTTAACAAGATAATTTTCCAAAGCACACAAGAAAATCCACCAGGAATGGCTCAGGAAGAAGAAAGAGGGTTATGGACTGTCCTACTTAAAGCCCCAATTTAATTCCCATTGAACAAGAGGTTTTGAAACTTGCAGTGCACGCAAGCCAAAATCATAAAACATCTTTTTGCACAGATAGATATCAATGTCTGTATTAAAGACCGGAGGACACTTATACAAATGTAATTACTGCTAAAGGGGGAAATGCCCACTTCTGATGCCAAAGGTGTATTCACTATTTTCATAGTACACCATTTGATATTTTAATAAATGATGAAAGAAAAAATCGTTGTAGATCACCTTCATTAGAATGCACTTTCTGAATACAAAATTGAATGTTTTCCTGTTTAAATATGAAAACGTCAAAAATTTCCACAAAAGGGACAGGCTTAAGTGGTATTGGCAGCAGTAAATCATGCATAGGACAGGGACATCCAGGAACAGTCAAGCAACTTTGTCCTGCACTTCTTTAACCCCTTGGCGCTGATGTAACACAAATATGCAGCCTTACAGAACTGGGCTTTTTTCCGTGGGGCCACATACTTGCGTACCTGTCTTTGTGCTGGGAGCACGGCGCGCTACCAGCACAAAGATTGGGGTGTCACTGATAACTCCTGTTTCCAGGTCACATGATTGCTGTGATAGCCTTTGATTGGCTATCACAGTGATCTCTCTCTCTCTCTTTTTACTAACACATGTCAAAGTTGTAAAATTTCACTTAGGCTTTAAGATTTGTTTTTACCCTTAGGCGTGAAAGGGTTGAGCAAGGCAGTGAACACAGCATCAGTGCAGGAGGGCTTAGGGCCGTGGCGGCCAACCTATGCCACGCGGGCACGCAGAGCCAAGTCACCCCACTACTGCCCTGCAGCCATGCATCGGGTCTCGCGCAATCGCAGCACCGGTCGATGACGTCACAAGCAGCAACTATCTCCCTAGCCGCTCGTCTGAGCTTTCAGCATGCCTTCAGCCAGCGCGGTCAGCCAGCAGTGGATCTGCTACAGCAACTAGCTGCTACACACAAGAATGTGATTTGCTGCACTGAATATGAGTTTTTATACATATTTAACTGAGATTATTTTAATGTTGTGCTGTCCCCCTGGCATTTCAATCTGCAGCATTAGGAACATTGCCCCTCTGTGCCCGTGGTCAGTGGAACATTGTCCCTCTGTGCCCGTGGTCAGTGGAACATTGCCCCCTGTGCCCGTGGTCAGTGGAACATTGCCCCTCTGTGGTGGTCAGTGGAACATTGCCCCTCTGTGCCCGTGGTCAGTGGAACATTGTCCCTCTGTGCCCGTGGTCAGTGGAACATTGTCCCTCTGTGCCCGTGGTCAGTGGAACATTGTCCCTCTGTGCCTGTGGTCAGTGGAACATTGTCCCTCTGTGCCCGTGGTCAGTGGAACATTGTTCCTCTGTGCCCGTGGTCAGTGGAACATTGGTAGTAGGTAGTTCTGAAAATTAAATCCTTAAAGTGTGGAATTCTCTGCCAAATAATTTTAAGTCAATGAAAGCACTTGGGATTGCTTTTCTTCCTTTGTTTGGATCATCTTATGCTTGTGAGCAGCTGTTTTCAGCTTTGAAGAATATCAAATCTGATACAAGAAAAAGACTAACAGATGACCTGACTGCTGCAGCTGTTGCTCTCAAAATAACAGTATTAAAAATAATAAAAGTATGAGCCATAATTTGACAAATTATCAGCATGCATACAACAGCAAATATCACATTAATTGTGCAAAAGCATACCAAATGCAAATTTTTACTTTTCAATAAAAAGCCGTTTGTATCATTGAAAGCTTTGGTATTGTGTTTTTCTTTTAAAACAAAAGATGTTAATGTACGAGTTGTTTTTTCTAAACTAAAACCTCAGTATTCAAGTTTAATTGCAGTGTTGACACTTTCCAATAAATAAATGGGTTTTGGGTTGCAGTTTGGGCACTCAGGCTCCAAAAGGTTCGCCATCACTGGCTTAGGGTATGCCGATAGCATAAAACAAAACATCTGCTTGTGTGAACCACTAACTAAACTCATGTCCATTCCTGACTATCAGGGTGCCATTTAATAGGTTCCCCAAAACAAGCAGGCAGCTCTAGTACCTTTTAAGTGTCCTGTCAGCAGTCAGCCTTTCCACCCAGTAGCAGGCTCCCACAACACAGAATGTGAAAGAGAGAGACCCCTGAGCATCACTCAGTCCACAATAAAAAGACCTGTGGACAGACTAATGAGTGAGGTCTGCTACAAGGTAAGATGTGGACCTAGTACTGGAGGCTTTATCCCATCCAAAGCCACCAGGCTACAGGACCCTGACCAAAACATATTAGGAATTGATAAGAAAAAAAAAAAAGAGTTGGTTTTCTCCATAGCGGACAGAAACCCTAGAGCCCCTTGCCATGTCTAGTTGATAAACCTAGGTGATCCTTATACAATGTTCACAATCCTACAAGCCAGGGCACACAGAAATTGCCACATGCATGACTGGCAATAGTAGATCTGACATATTCCATCCTTGCTTTGTAGATACAATATTCCAAACCTAGGTAGATACGGGCTTGATAAATGACCTGGTATGCCTGAACTTACTCTTGCTGTCTTGGCTGAAATTGCAATAAAAACTCTTAATGTGTGCTGCAAGCAGTTTTTGGGATGTTGTATACCAAGGTGACAGTACCTCCAATTTTGTTTGCACATTCTACTGATGACAGTGATGCTCTAATTCTGTATATAAAGTGCCTATAAAATGTATCCCTCCCCTATTGTCATAGAACATTTAGTCAAAATGGATTTATATTTTTTTCACAACTATGAACAACATAGGACCGAGAACTTACATAGATCTCAGACTGCTGAGGTCGAAAGTTCCAGTGCAGACTGGCATGTACATCTGCATTAAACGTGACTCTAATGACCCGATCCTTCACAGGCTCCATAGACTCAATCTGGTCTGAGTTGTGTCCAGCCACTGCTGTTCCACCAAGACCTGTAGACTAAACAAGAACAGCATAAGTATTTAGTGTAGACTGCTTATAATATTCTTAAACAAAGAAAATTGCATAAAGCAGTCACATTTGTTCCAGGAAGATCTAGCTGGATATCCCCCTACCCCCCCAGGCTTTATAAGATCACACAACCAAGCACTCTGGTGTCAGCCAAATCCTCCCTATGATTATAAATTAGAACCCAGCATCAAGATCCATCATACATCAAAAAGGTCCCTTTTCACAGTCACGTAGGAAATTCATACTATAAATTCTTCAATCCTCCAAAGGTTCTGACCGTTGATTTTTAAGTGTTCAATTCATGTGCCAAAATGTTCTATGTGTGTTCCTCTTTCTCCTTTCATAAAAATGTCAGCTCCTCATGCAAAAAAATATATAAAACGCATATAGTGCATTATCTTTTTAAATATAATAAATTAAATATATGTCACTCACAGAAGAGCACTATATATATTTACTCATCCAAGTATCCAGGGGGATTTTTGCTTATATGGTAGGTATGTTTATCCGTATAGGTGGTCTTCGAGGGTTTACATTCTGGGTAATGTTGGAATGGGAGGGTGTTATTTTATGTATTGAAAGTGTACAATCCAAACGCACACGTTCCTGCGTTAAAAATGGCTGTGTGTATAAGTGGGTGCTGCAGCGGCCGTCGGCTGGAACCCAACAAAATCGGCAAGGGGATATATGTGGGACCTGTGTATTTGTGACCATAGATGGATATGTTTATAGATTTACCACTAGGGGGCCATATGGCATACTATGTTTTGGCATTTATGCACACATATATAATTATCCATGTATCTATGTGATTTTTGTTCAATATGGGTAGTTTAGGATTGCATTTATTATTATATAAGAGTTTGTAACAGATTTTAAAGTATTAGTACCAGATACAATCCAGTTTTGTAATAATCCCTTTAGTAAGATGGAGGATTAGCGCCTTGTGTGTGCGGAAGTTCACTATATAAGAGCCAGCCGCTTTCTGACGTGTACATCCTTTGACAAAGTTGTAATGACGACACGCGTCAGAAAATGACATCAGATGCAAACCAGAAGTCCAGCGGCAACCATCTTTGTAGAGGTTCGATGAAGGTGTTGTGTGCTGATGTTTTATACACATTGTAAGCGCTTTTTTTAAAAAAATAAACCAGTTTTATTTGGTACACTATGGTCTTCCTATGTTTGATTTGATTACATATGGGCAACACGGAGTGGAACATCGGCATTAGAGGAGATTTTTGAGGCGTAGTAGTTCACTATGAGATTCCATGCTTCTGATCTAGGAGGATCTGGTAAGGTGCATGAACCGTGAGGTGGAGGGTCACCTTAGGTGGATTAAGTACTGGTTGGTGATCACAGAAATTACAGTAGTGCAGGCACAGTGGCACCATTATTTTCTGTTGAATTGAAAATACTACACTATAGAATATCTCTTTTTGGGGAATATTTGATTATGAAAGAAGAAGAATGAAAATGAAGTGATTTTCAAGATTCATCCCCCTTTAATAAAGTGAGGATTTATGATTGGAGGGTAAGAGTAGGAATTACGGATATTGATTGATGTCACATGGTGGAGAGTTGGCACAATATTAGCACTTTTTTGTGAGTGTAAATATATATTTTATTTATTATATTTAAAAAGATAATGCACTATATGCTTTTGTATATTTTTTTGCATGAGGAGCTGACACTTTTATGAAAGGAGGAAGAGGAGAACACATAAAACATTTTTGCACATGAAATGAACACTTATAAAAATCAACGGTGAGGATTGAAGATCTTATATTTATATTTACGTGACTGTGAAAAGGGACCTTTTTGATGCATGATGGATCTTGATGCTGGGTTCTAGTTTATAATCATAGCTTCCCAGGGGGAAGTAATAACCTGGCAAATGGAAATTTTACCTATTTTTATATAATTTGTATCTTGAATTTGTACATGCTATAAATATTTGGGGGGACAGTGATCATCGGTTTACCCTGGGAGTGGATTTTATTATACAGTGTTTGAGTTCTCCCTATGAATTCTGCATCCAACAGTACATCTTCCCCTTTTGGATAACAGAGTTTTAGCTATGGATAGTAGGGAGAGGGGCAGACAATTCCGAGGTTAAAATCAGGAATGTGCTGTGAATAGGCCGCCTCATAGTGGAAGGAAAGCCTTATATTAAAATTCTCCCCTGCAATCAATAATGTAAGCTAAGATCAGCCTTATGTCCCAAAATAATAATTAAAAAACAAAAAAAAAAAAATCAGTTTTATGCCTTTATTTTGCAGTATCCAGTGCCTGTCACATGACTTCAATCCCTCTCTCTGGTTTTGCCTTTTGATGTTTTTTTCTACAGCCAATAAACTCCCCAGCATGTTATCCTATGTGTCCATACACACAGACAGTAATCAATGTTTTTTGGCTGGAAAAAAACCCCAGGACTAGTGGGTTTCTAAAGCAGTTTTTTTAGCTGTAAAAATGCGGCAAAACATGGTAAATCGTGGCAAACCAGCGTTTTTGGACTTTGACCATAAAAATATTTTTTTTTTTTTTGTAAAAAAAAAAACTCTAAAAACGTGAAAAAATACGGCAAAAAGCTAATACAAAAATGCTAAAAACCGCTGAAAAACTCACGTATTTAACGTGACTTTTACACAGTTAACGCTACCAGTATTATTGAAACGCCCAGTGTGCATAGAAACTTAAAACTGCGCCCGCCCGTGAAAAGGTGGTACACGAAGTAAACTTTTACTATCCATGGCCAATGCTTTAAAAGCCTTACAGGTTATCGCTTTAGATTTACAAATTTGTGCTAGAATTACTTCCCATGATCTGACGTTTACGGCAATACCTCACATATGTGGGACAAGTGCTGTTTGCCTGCGCACAGGACCAATGAGTGTGTTTGCCCTTGTGCACAAGCACAGGGGGAAGGGGGTCACTTTTTTTTTATTTTTACACTGTGACTTTAATTTTTTTTTAATCTCTTATTGCTGTCCCAAGTATGTACAGATCTGAGTAGATAAGATGTGACCTGTAGCAATCTGTAATCGTAAATGTAGTTGCATGCCTTGTCATTAAAGAAATATTCAGTCAGAGGTATTCAGAGACAGATGGTCACTAATTAGCATCTGAAGGGATCTAGCTTCCTCTGGATATGTTACCTAAGTGCCAATACGATTTGTCTATAATCAGACTTTGCCACCTTCCTGAAGTAAAAGAGGAAACGGCTGGAGACAGGTTGGCTTCATGACAGCAGGAGACCAGAGCTTTAAAGTATAATACATACATCAAAAGGAGTATGTTTCATCCCTCATACAAGCTAAAATATTAGTTGCAGAGAGATGAAAACACTTCCTTCTGATGGGGCACTCTGTGGGCTGCATCGGGCATATAAAAACTATATTTGTGGCCTATGTAGAATGCCTGGAAAATGCAGGAAATGGTTGAAATCCAATCCCCCGTGACTTGGTGATTCAAGCCGGTCTTGGCCCAATTGACTTTGGCAGTTCGGCACCCAGAACATCTTGTGGGCAGGTACAGAACACCCCCCAGGGTCAATTGGCCAAGAACTAATGTCCCGCCTATGTCCATATCCCCATAAATTGAGGACTCTAACATTGGGACATGGTGATTCGTATGGAGCCGGTTCGATTTGACTGAAACGGATGCTGACTCTCTGACTTGCTCCAGTCGCAGGATAAATCTGGGTAAAGGTCTTTATTCTGTTTTATTCACTTTTATATTTTATAGTGGAATAGTCTGACTCTTATGTGTTGTTTGCTGTATCTTTTTTGTAACTTTTTATACTTTGTACATATTTTATGCACTGCCCACTTTGCGGATAGTAAATCTGAAAATTAATAAGTGACTCTCTGTGTATTTAAGCATGGGCTCAGTATCTTCGGAGGATTAGATGGTATATGTATTTTATGTGCCTTTATATGCTCTAGGTCAAGCTCATTGACAATCTGTATGCAATTGCACTGGCGTGTTGGCATATTGCGTGCAGATGTGTAAAAGGTAACAGATGCTGCCAACACGAGATCTGTGTGTGTGTGGTGTCCCCATACAGACCGTTCTGCAGATAAACACTGTTGGGTGGTGGCCTGCTACTGTTTGGGTTGTGGTAATGGTGTTGGGGGTTGTGTTTTCGTTGTTGGCTTTGGAATTTATATCTCACAAACATAACATGATTTATATCAAGACATAATCACTATTTAAACATTCAAGTCAAGCATAGGCCCGATGTTAAGGGTTAATTTGTCTTGGTTGGAAAGTCAATGAACCATCTAGCTAGAGAAATTAATGGGTGAAAGGGAGTGTTTTTCGTGCCTCCTAGAGACAATACATTTTGAAGTTCTACAGGTGATCAACACCATTATATTCAGACTTCAATAAGTCAGGTAAACATATACAAGGTCTGGACATGGACAATAGAGAACCAAACTGATTTTCTGAGGTTACCCCAAAACCTTGTAAGTGTGATAAACTAACAGACCTAAAAAACTATTAAAATACTATTGTTCCCCGGGGGGGAAAGCATTAACAGTTGTTTCTAGTTCCAATACAAGGGCCAGGAAATAGAGGTTTTTTTTCCCACACGAGAAAATTATTCTGAAACAAAAAGGGGAAATTCAGGACATTTAAATCAAAATTATTTATTAATTACAAAATATACTACAAAAAAAAAGATATAAATAAGATGTTATGATTTTTAAACCCACTAAATACTCAGCAATGGGAACTTTAAAAACACTAATTTTGGGATTGAGATGATTGGG